CCTACAAAAATTGTTTAATCTGACTGACCACTTTTTGGATTGTTTGCAAGGTTTATTTTAAGTCCTGTATGCACTAATGTGCTGCTGTGCCAGAAACCCTGTGCCCTTAGGGTGGCTTATTGTATTTGTTTTTTACTGTGTCAGTGCATATTGGCAAAGTAAATCAACTACTTCAAAAGGAAATTAATTTGCTTCCTGCGTTTACATGTTTGGTTCCCATCTTGGGGAGGAAGAAGGAGTTTCAAAGGTCACAAGGAACATAAATAGAATAAGATGCAGTAAAATACCTATCTGCCTTCAGTCCCTGAGATTCTTACTGTATGAGAGTCAAAAGTGACCCAAGATGTCCTCTTACAGGGGACGGGGTGCTCTGGGATTGTGCTAGAGGGATGTTGGTCCAGTCAGAGTAATTCGGCATTTACTTGAGTGCTGTGTAGCCGGGGCAGCCCGGTGCTAGTTAGAATAGGGAAAGCCAGGCGCACGGCCGGGTGTTCGAATGATGGGGCTGCTACTGCACTGTTTGTAGGAGCAGTTTTACTGCGTAGATGAGTTGCTGTCCACCCTTGCTGCCTCTTAGGGTTGCTCAGGACTGCATGTGTGGTCCTTATCTTCCCCACACAGCTTATCGCCACTAATCTCCTCTGCAGAGCCACTCAAGGGGTGACTTACAGGTCTGCCTCCCTTCTCCCAGCTCCTCTGTCCAAACCACAGTTGTGGCTGCTCTGAAATTTCCTTCTGGCTGTCTGGCCATCAAGTTGTGCTCAGAATGGCTTTAAAAATGCTTCTAACTTGTCCTTTGTTACTGCAGGAGTGTTACTTGGTCCCCAGATCTGTCTGTGCTCTTCAGCTCCCAGCTTGGTCTCTAGCTTCACTTGTTCTTGCTCTGTTTGGGTCTCTCGGATGCTTCGGGTCACATGTCTAAAATATCTTGCTTATCAGTCCTCCCAGCTGAAATTCCTGGCCAGGCTCTTATCTGTTGCTGCAGCATCCTCTCCTCCGTTCTTGGCCAGCTCAGTGTCCCATCGCAGGTGTCTGCAGAGCATGCTGCTACAGTGGCTCTGACCACCCCAGCCATGTTGCTGTTCCTGCCCGGTTTGCCATCTTCCCCTTCTCTTTCCCATTTCAACAAAACTTGTCTGCACTTCTCATCGTATCCTCACCCCTCTGCTGTGTCTTGCTGTACATCCCTCACATTAGAGTCTCTCCGTAGTTAAATCTGCAGTAACTTGTGTGCACCCTTCCATGCTCCCCTTCTGGGCCAACACTTTCTGCTTGTCTTTCTGGCCAGCCATGTCCTCATGGACAAACATTTCTGTTTTGGCTGGTCTCATTAATTTCTTGCATACCTGCCACCAGCCCTTCCATATTGCTATTAAAGCTGTGGTTTCCCCTGCAGGGAAGGTGCATAGTTCTCGGACAGGTCCTTTTTCATGCTCCCTGTTCAAAAGTGGGCACCTTACTCCAAGTCTGGCAGTAGGATGTGCCTGCCTGGCCTTGGCTGTCTTTGGGATATTCCCTTCCCTGCTCTGACTGTGCCTTTTTGATCATGTTCTCGGTTTTTTTGAGGAAAAAAAATCCTAAATGAGACCAGTCATCCTCACGCAGGAAAGAAGGAAGGATCCCACAGCCCAGCATACAGAACTTCCAGTAAAAATGTGCCATAACAACTCTGGGTATTGGAAGGAACCACAGTGCATGCTATTCTAAAAAAGGAAAGGAAAGGCTGAAAATAGCATAATCCCAGGAAAACTAGAACAATTGCTGTTGTCGAAGTCAAGTGTCTGAAATGAACCCACACTGGAAGCAAATCGGGACTCCTAAAAGTAGTGAACATTTAGAGATTGCCTGTTGAGGGAAACCTGCCGGCAACAGAGCTGCATTTGTTCTGCAACCTGCTAATTTTTGAGAGCTGCAAGAGAGAAGCGCTTGCAAAGCCTGTTGGTAACACAGAGCAAAGTGCAGTAACCTCCACTGTGATGGATCACTTACTGTGTGGGAGGCAAGAAAGCAAGCTGAAAATGGGAAGGAATACACCAGAATCAGCTCTATTCTGGTCCTGGCAGGTCTCTTCTGCCTGTAACATGGTGGCCAGCAGATGGCCACCAGCAGTGGAAGAATCTTTGGGATTTTGCAGTCATGAAGGTGGAGTTTTCAGCAGCTGTGTCTGTGTGATCATGCCTCATCCCTTCATGGTCACTTGTGATCCATTGAGATCTGGGGGAAAGCAATGGGGGATCTTCCCCCAGCCAGCTGAGCTCTGTGTCCCTCCTCACCTGAGGGTGACCAAAGAAGTGATCAAAGGCTTTCTCTGTGAGAAAGATGCAGATTTGGGCACAGGTTGTTCTGTAAAAGAAAATGGGTTTGTGTTACCACCTTCTGCTGGGACCAGCCCAACACTGTGGCCCCTTGGCTGCTGTCCTGCTTTGTCTGCTCAGGTGCAAAGCTTTCTGCTAGTTTCTCACTTTCTTTTTGCTTTTCTTCCCCGCCCGCCCCCCTCCAGTCTTGGCTTCTTAGTTGCTGAAGTGGTATGCTTTTTTCCTCTCTGTCATCATCTCAGTGAAAATACTGGATGCGTGGGTGTTTGCATTCCCCACTGATGGCCCTGGTTGGGTGCCGGGCTCCCCGGTGAGCAGCCCTGCTGCGGCTCGCTCAAGCCCAGAGGACAATGCCGTACCCTTGAGAGCACTCCTTCTGCAGAGCTGTCTTGCACAGTCTCTCAGGTGCACCTAGGCATTTCAGGTTTGATTTAAATCAGGAGTAAAACTCTAAAATGCCATGATTCTCCAAAAGGAACCAGAGGGCTGGATTTGGGACAGCTGCCCTTATGGCTTGGCCTGGCCACAGACCCCAATGCCCCAGTTTCGCTTAGCCCCTACACCAGTTGCAGAGTCCTGGATATGCTTCTATTGAAGCTCAATCCAAGACCTGTCAGATCTTTACTAAGCCAGGCTTTACTGAACTGACCTCCCTCTGTCTGCTAGCTGCCGTCTGCTCCTCGCTACTCCAGTGAAAAGCCAAGGCAGCTACTGTATTTACTACTGCCTTCCCCTGCACCTATTCTTCAGTTGTCTCTTCCCTTTCCCTTGTTGGTTGTTAAAAATATACTTGATGCTCTCTAGCTCTATTTTTGTGAAAGTTTATGTGAGTTAAGTGTATGCACCAGGTACATACAGACTGCAGAGAGCATGTGAGAGTTTCCCAGCATAGCAGTCCTGTTTTGCTAGCATGCTGTATGCTCTGCATGCCGCTGACTAATGCCCTTTCTCCCTTCCTTCTTGCAGTGGCTGAAGGATCCCGGTCCCCGCAATGAGAAGAGGACCCTTTTCTGCGACATGGTGTGTTTCCTGTTCATTACTCCCCTAGCAGCGATCTCCGGCTGGCTGTGTCTGCGCGGAGCCCAGGATCATTTGCAGTTCAACAGCCGACTGGAGGCTATCGGACTCATAGCACTAACTATAGCACTTTTCACAATCTACGTCCTTTGGACGCTGGTAAGTGTCTGCTGCCCAGGGCCTTGCTTCTGTTCAAAAGGGAGATTGAAGTACGGGCTCGCACTACATGGGTGCAGCCAGCCGTTTCTGATTCCCCTTGTGAGAAAACCTTGAGCTCTTTGCCTTGAACGTCCATTTAATTATCTCCAAATGGGAGCTGCTGCAGTTGTTGCTGAGAATGAGAAACCACTTCCTGATCGTCTGCTTTCCAGATTGATATGGGAGTCATGTTCCTCGAGGTGTCATATACCCTGGCGCAGACATGCCCAAGCGTGGCTGGGGCTGGGTGGGAAGGTCTGGTGCTGGGGGCAGGCAGTCATCCAGCTGTTGTGCCTGTTCCTATTTTCGAGAAGAAACACAAACTTGGTACCTGGGTGGGTTAGGGGAAAAATAAAATCTGGAAAATGTTTGATGCCTAAATAATCTGCCGTCATGTCCCTCCATGCTTTGTACTGCCCAGTACAGGTTGGCCGTGCCCGAACGAGGTGCAGACTGGCCGTTGAGGGTCTCTGTGGCCCACAACTAAATAAATTCCTACACAGTATTTTTAAGATGTCAGTTGCACAGAAGGGTGTGTGCAAGGAACGTTCCGGCCCTGGGGAGACCTCTAACTTCTCTGTCATACTGGGCTTTTGGGCTTGAGCGCTGAGCCAAGGCTGGGTAGCCAGCCTGCCCTGGCCCACTGCTGCGGCTTTACAGCTGCGCTGTCAGAGTTGGAGGCACTGGGGATTAGTGGGAACCTGCACTTGACACTGTCTGGGTGTTAAACTGATCCGTGCTGGGAAAGAGCTTCCTGCAGATGCATCGCTTTGCATCTCTTTGGACATGTTGAATTAGGCAGCCACAAGCTTGCAGCTTGGGGCGAGTCCAGAAGAGCAGGAAAGCAAATGTGAATTTGCTGTGTAGCACATCTGTAAGCACTCCCAGCTGAGAGTCCAGAGGAGCAGCTGGGCTGGGGAGCAGCTCCCTGCCCTGCTGCTCCCCGAGCTCTCGGGGCTCCCCTGGCTGTGCTCTCTCCGGGGCTCCCAGGCCAGGGACTTCCCTCTGTTTCCCATTCAGTTCTTTTGTGTTCTGTTGCTATGTGGGTTTCTGGATTTGGATCTTCATTTCAGCTCTCCTATTCAAAGCATGTGTGTACTCACGCCCTGTCAATACCCTTTTCCAGCTGCTTGCTGGGAAGCACCATTTGGGAATGGGAAGAAGTGCAGTTGCTGGAGGAAAAATAGTGCGACCCCAAAAAGCTGGCAGTTCTGTGGGCCGTAGAAATGCCATAGCCCATTTCCCTGCCATCTCATGCTCTGATCTCTCAGAGTAACAGCTTTCCCTGGGGTTAGGACATTCCTTGCAACTCTCCCACACGGACTCAGGTGCCAGGGGAGGGTGAGTTGGTGCTGCAGCCTTCGCTCTGGGAGGTGCCTGCAGCGAGAGTGCCTGATCGGCACTGCTGTCAAAACATGCAGCAATTGCAGTGCACAGGGAGCTGTTGAGGAAAGTCTCCACTGCTGCATGTACATGCTGCATAAGGTTCATTTCTGTAGAAAGCCAAGCTAAAACTGAAAACCTTAAGAGGAAGTGCTTCCATCTTCTCTGTCCCAGGACTGGTCTGGAGGAGCTAGAAAGCTGGAGGAAAAAGAAGAATGATCTTTTTTTTGAGAAATAACAAGTCCTGACTAAAATGGCACTAGTTCTGCTGTGCTTCACATTTCCTTGAACAGACAAGGACATTAAGTGAAGCCCCTTTATTCACATTTACCGTATTCAACTGCAATTCTTCCGTGCTGCCATGGGCTGTGCGGCACAAAGGGCCGTTACGTGCGTGGGTGGTGATGGCTGTAATCAGTGTGAGTATTGCGAGAGAGGCCGTGGTCAAGGTTGCAGCTCCTTCCTATGGAGCAGGAGCTTTCCTTGAGGTTTGCATCATTAGCTCCCCATTCACACGCTGTCTTTGAAGACTTTGAAGAGATGCATTTGCTTCTTGTTTATCAGCAAACAACCTTATTCCCACAGTTGTCCCGCTACAACAAGAAAAAGGGGAGTGCATAGATCAATAAGCTAAATTACCTCAATGCTGTGGCACAGCTCCATTTCTCACAGCAAATGTCTGAGACCCATCCAAAATAGGAATACTGACTTTTCCTTGTCAGATATACTTTCCTGGTACTTCCTACTTGCCAGCTAAATGTTTCCTGTACTTTTACAAAGTACGAAAGCTTGGTTTTGATGAGTGGCTGACTGGATTCAGTATTTAATTTTCTTGCTCACAATTTCTAGGAAAATAAATAGGAGGGAAATACATGCTGGTTTTATTTCTTCCTCAAGAAATTATAGAAGAGTTCAATTTCAAAGCTAATGAATCAGCAGGAGCTGTGAGAAAGTCTGTAGTGGTGTTAATGATTGCAAAAGGACACAGCAAGGAGTCCAGCCCCCTGGGGAAGCACAGCTCGAAGCTCCCCCTTGCAGGGCTGCTCAGAAACTGCAGGGCCAGCTCGTGCCTCTGGGCCAGGCTGGTTCAGGTCCCCTCCAGCCTTTGCATCCTCTCCTGTTTCCCTTCGGGTGGAAAAGTCTCCCAGACCACAGCGTTGTCAGAAAAAATGAGTCCAACCAATGTCCTATTGTTGCAGACCAAGGAGAGAAGGCTTTTGCAAAGGGCAGAGAAGATCCACCAGGATCTGTGAGATGGGAGGAGGCTGGTTGGATTCAGCCACTTGAGACTAGTCCTGTTGACAACACCTCATTTTGCCCAGACAAGGTGCTCACTTCAGCCCATGGCTAGGGTGAAGGGGTGAGTTGTGGTTCCTCCCTGCCACATCTCACTGGCCTGGTGCCCAAACCCAGCTGAGCAAACTCTGTCCCTCTGTCCTGGTGCTGCCCAGAAAGCCCCTTTGGCTGTGCCATGCTCAGCCTGGTGTTACCAGGAATTAATTGATTCCTCATCAAAGGCTTGGGACATGGAGTGCCCCAAACTGTTTCAGGGTCAGTGCTGTCTCCCTTGGCCGGGGGGTGCTGGTGGATTGACAAGGAACACGCAGAGAGCACGCGGAGGGCGGATGGGTGACTGCATCTCACTGGCCCTCTATGGGCTCCAGCACTTGTGATGGGGGTTTGGTAACCAGACCGATGCGTTATTGCCCGCCAGGTTTCGTTCCGCTACCACTGCCAGCTGTACTCAGAGTGGCGAAGGACCAACCAGAAAGTCCGCTTGATGATCCCAGCCTCGCGGAGCCCTCACCCCGTGCCCCACTCCCTCCTCTCTGCCAAGCTCATGAAGAAGACCGCAGATGAAACCACCGTCTGAGCCGTCCCTTGGCTGCTGCACCATGTGGCTGCTGGGGCAAGGGCAGCCCTTCGGGGCTGGCAGAAGCAAAGAGGGTCGAGTGTCCCCGTGTGCACAGGAATTGCAGCAGCTGTGGAGGCACTAGAAAGCAATCATCCCACCCGAAGGGACTTTGTGGTCAGCATGTACTTTATACTATGGCAAACAGACAGATAATCAACGTCTGTCATGTGAAACGGCCCAAAAGAGCCAGATGGCAGAATATGCCTGTCTGCAGGGACACTTTCCTATAACTAAATACCATACGTGGAAAATATCTCCCTCTCTCTCTATATATATATCTATATATGATATTATTTTTTAATGGCCATGCATATTGTGTTTCAGTCCTTTTGTGTTGATGTTCTAAGCTTCAGTATAGAAGCTGGCAGCCTGATCTCATTCAGAGGTTAAATCTATGCCTTTTCTCCAAATGAGCATATAAAGAACACTTTTCATCAACTGTTCTTGAAAGTCCCTTTCTCCTTTGCGCTAAATTGGTTTTGATAATATTGCAGCAGCCTTTCCCATTACTCTTTCGTCTCTTTTGTGGTGTTTCTGTCCTTTCTAGAAAGTTGTGTGTTTTTAATAATTATTATAACCCCAGAAGGAGTAAAATGACATAATACTGAATGGAGACGTTTTGTATTGTAAAGTACTGTAATTTTGAGAATTTCAAAATGAGAAAATCTTTTCCTGTGCAGATGTGATCTCACAAAATGCTTTCCTTACAGATCCTGGCTCATCCCCAGGACTCGGATGCACTCAGCTCTTGTATGTCTGGCAAAGATAGATGGAGGATCTGAAGGTGGGAAGTGATGGCTTGTACTAGCTAAACCCACCATTACCTTTTGCTTTTAAAAAATTCAGAAAGGAGCTTTCCTGACCCCAGAAGGTGAGAGTGGAGTCTCTGTTTGCTGATGTCCTTTCACCATCTTGAGGCTGGACCTCTCGTAGTTACACACATACCTTATGGGACAGGCCGTACTCTGCAGCCCCTTGGCAGGACGCAGGTGGTCTCGGCTGTCTCTGTGCACTTTATTTGCACATTACTCAGCAGCAGCCAGAGGAGCTGCTGTGATTTGGTTCATCCCTAAAAGTGCTGCCTGCCTGTTACGTGTCCTCTAGTGAAACACCCCAAGTTCGCTGGTTCCCAGAGAACAGGCTCTGGGTCCCTTCTCCTGCAAAGCTGGCGTTCCTCCTCCTCCTTCATCCACCTGCATTTCCAGCACGTCCAGCTAATGAACCCATCTGCCTTGGAGTGCCCAATCTGCCAAGAGTCTCCCTGAGTTTGGCTTTAGTCCTTGCCTCTCTACTGCCTCCCAACTGCCGGACGATGCCTGTGCTTGGTGCTGTGTGGCCCTCCATGAGTGGAGCGGCCCGTAAGGACGCCAGTGTTGGCATTGCCCTGCTGAGTGCTCCAGAGGTGTGTGCAGCTGCTTGGCGTGAGCCTTGGCTCTCGCGATGGTGAGGGTAGATAGCAGGGAGGAAGCAGGCTCCAAGGTGCCTGTGTCCTTGCAGTGGGTAATGGTAGTCAGATGCTATGTCCCTCTGCTCCTTTGCTGAACCCAAGTGCATCAGTCTGATGCCCTGCTAGGTCGAGACCTGTAATTTCTTGAATTCAAAGCACCACATGCCATTCCTCCTTCTCTCTAACTGCAAAGCAGGATGCTTTTCCTTACATGTCCCCTGTTCCCTGACCCTAGGCTGGAAGTCACTGGTGGCATGAGCAGCAGGGGCCAGTGCCCTGTCTCTCCCAGTAGGATTGCTCCAGCCCTGGGACCTGGTCTGTGTCTGCTCTTCTCCTTTGTCTCCTGCCCCAGGGTTCTCATGGAACTCGGTGATATCGCAGCACATCTTGCAGCAGCCTCTGCCCAGCCGTGGACCCCTGTGGCTAGTCCGAGCTGGTCTTTGTTCTGAGCATAAGGGTCTTGTTTGATCATGGGGTGAATGTCTTCTGCCGCAGCCAGGCTGTGCATCTCTGCTTCCCTCTCTCTCTGCCAGCCTCCCTGCCCCTTTCTTCCCTTCTGCTGTGTACCCATGGGCACCTTCCCTTTTCCCTTCATGCAGCCCAGCTGCAGTTATGGTCTCTGCACAGCAGTAGCATCCTGCTTCAAATCAGCTTGTGCAGTGGAGCTCCCACACAGGCGCTGCCTCCCTTCCCTTGGCAGTGAGCACTGCACCACTGCTCTGTGCCTTGTCCTGGGTACCCCTTCCTTCAGCCCTTCCCCAACAAACCCCGTGTCACCAGGACATTCCCAGTGAAGAAAAATGTGAGGGTTTAGTTTAACCTTCTCAGCCCTGGCTGCCTCCCAGGAGCTTGGTCTTGCAACACGTCTAGTTCTGGCAGGTGACGAAGGATATGCACTCCCACACCATGTTCCCCTAGTAAGGACTTAATGGAGCCAGTGTTTCAGTTAGGAAACCCACTGTTGATCCAAATATGCAACTGTGAAAGCCAGAAGTCCCTGGATGGGCGCAGCTGGGGCCCAGCCCTGTGCTGCTGTGCAGCCATGGCTTCACTCTCAGCTTTGTTGTCTTTATCGTAGTTGCCAATAATTGGAGTTGTTGCATGTGCCCCTGCAAAACCGGCTCTTTGAGTCTTCTCCTCCTTCCCAGAGAAGATGTTCAGCTTGTGGATGTGGGAAATTGGTGTCTCTGACCCGACATGTTCCAGTGTCATGGGGAAATGGGCTGTGCAATTATGTAAATAAAAGTGAGACAAACTTTGGGCTGTTGCGTTGTTACTGAAGGAGATGGGAGGGCCTGAAGAGCCCAGGCTGTCTCTCTGATAGCGAGCCCTGTGTGCTGGCTTTGCGGGGTGCTGTGGGCAGCTTTCCTGACCTGCCCCCAGGAGAGCTGGCAGAAGGTTTTGTATTTGAGCCGGAGCTGGACAAAACCCAGGTTTCTCTTGTCTGCGCACAGAAGCCTCCCTGGTGTGGACCAAGCAAGGAGGTGATGTTTGGGCCAACGGAGTCCTTTTGGCCTCTCCAGAGGGTGGGCATAGGGCTGCATGGAGCAATCCCGGTGCTCCCTGTGATGCAGCCCTGCAGAGGCTCCCGCCGCTGCCTGCTGGCGCTGCCCCAGTGAATTGCCTGACCAGAGCCTGCCCCGCTGCCGGCCGGTGCAGCCCAGCCCTTCACTCCAGGGTGCTGGGAGACACTGGACCTGTCTGCCAGTCCGTGCTCTCGTCCGAGCCCTGGTGAGGCCTCAGGGTGCTGTGTCCGAGGCTGCAGTGTGAGAGCTGCCGGTGGCTACAGGGCAGGAGAGGCTGATGCATGCTCCTGGGCCACGCTGCGCAGCTGGCTCCGAGAGCCGTCCGGGGCCAGCATCATGGCAGGGGCTGCAGGGTGGCGTGGGGCAGGATGCATGCCCAGGGCTGGATCTGGCACTTCAGGGCAGAGACCCAAGCATCCATCAGTCCCTTTTCCAAGGTGCGATGAGGAGCCCCAATACCTCCTGCAGTTCCAGCCTTGCCCTTAACCCCTGGGGTGGGCATTGGACCTGTATTGCAAAGCCTGGTTAGAAAGGCTGCGCCGTTTTTGAAGAGGGGGGGTGGAAATGTTTGAGCTGCATATTGAAAGTGCCACTCAAGACACTACAAAAACAATGTTCAAACATGTTTCCAAGGCCCTGGACAAGGCCTTTGCCTTGGGTAAGACCTCAGACAAGACCCATGTTTCGTGGACCATCTGGCAAATCAAGAGGGCTCTGGGCTTGCTTATATTAAAAGAAAAAAAGTTTTAAAAGAGAGAGCGCCATGTTCCTGGGAAGAAGGCTCACCCCAGTCCTTTAAAATAAAACTGTGCTGCAACACAGCAATCCCAGGACGAGGAGAAGAAAAAGCAGCAGCAGCAGCCAAAACAGTGTAAAAGAAACAGAAAACCCAGAGAAAGAGGGCTCACTGTTAGAGAAGGAGACACATTTTAACAGGGATGGCTTTCATTCACAGCTGCTCAGAAGAACGTACCAAATCTGAGCAGGATTTGTTTGAAGCATCTCTGACACAGACCAGTGTTGAGAAAAACCTGTTTACTGAGGTGCCTCCACTGCCCATCACTGCAGCGTTTTCCCCTGGGAACAGGGAGGATCACGTAGGTCTGATCAACATCCTGCTCTACCTTTGCTGCCAGGACAGGCCCCACCTTGGTGCTGATGGGACTGTGGGCTTCGTGACTTACCCGCTGGCCTCCATGTCCAGCCACCAACCGATGAGGCAGCGCATCGGCTGCCAGCCCCACGCCTTTGCTCAGTCGCAGCCGTGACGCACCGTCTACGCAGGCTCTGGGTATGGGACAAAAACTCCTGGCTCAGGTTGTCTACCCGTGCTGTGGTTTAACCCCAGCCAGCAGCTA